TATTCTATTCTATTCTATTCTATTCTATTCTATTCTATTCTATTCTATTCCATTCCATTCCATTCCATTCCATTCTTTGTCCTATTCTATTCTATATTCTACACTCTATATTGTATTCTATTCTATTCTTTGTCCTATTCTATATTCTATATTCTATATTCTGTTCCGTTGTGTTATTTTCTGTTTTGTTCTATTCTGCTCTTAGTTAACTTGCTGGCTATCTGTCAGACTATTGCAACATCTCACTGATAAAATTGCCTAACAACTCAGAATGGTATCTCTGCTGATACCATCAAGGTTTTTTTTAAAAAAAAACTGGAATATAAACACCATTATTTTTCTATGCGTTCTACCACCTTGACAGCAAATCTAATATTTCATTGAGTTGGAAATAAGCCTGACTGTGTTTAGCAAAGCGTAGAGCAGATCTACTGCTTTGAAACATCTGAACTATTTGCCACTCCTTCGTTCTACACAATAGTTAAGAGCAGTTGATCTTTCCAGGAGAGAAAATATACCAGTTGGGGTGATACGTTGTTGGGCTAGAACTGGGATTGGAATCATCAAATTTGCTAACTTCGAAGCTCGCTACGTGAGTATGAACTGCAGGTGCTCCCCCTGATGTACAACCACAACTAAAGCCAGAATTTCCTGTTCAAATCTGTGTTGGTTTAGCAAACGATAACATATATATAAAATAATGGGGAAATGGGGGAGAAGGGGAAAGAGGAAAAAATGTAGAGTAAAAAGGAATAGAAAAAGTAAAGCATTGACTTCTGACTCTTTTTAGCAGAGTAATAAAAGGTGAATAATACACACAGCCTCAACTTTTTTAAAATTTTGCGTAATAATGTAATAATAGTCCTCAATGTTTGAAAATAAGGTAAAGGTAAAGGTTCCCCTCGCACATACGTGCTAGTTGTTTCCGGCTCTAGGGGGCGCTGCTCATCTCCCTTACAAAGCCGAAGAGCCAGCGCTGTCCGAAGACGTCTCCATGGTCATGTGGCCGGCAGGACTAAACGCTTTCAAAGGCGCACGGAACGCTGTGACCTTTCCACCAAAGGGGTCCCTATTTTTCTACTTGCATTTTTTACGTGTTTTTGAAGTAGCTGTGACAAGGAACGGGAGCTCCCTCCGTTACACAGCGCTAGGGATTCGAACCGCTGACCTGCCGACCTTTTCTGATCAACAAGCTCAGCGTCTAGCCTGTCCATCTCCACACAATCTAACCTCTGGTGGGATTCAATTTTTTTTTTTACTATCGGTTCTGTGGGCGTGGCTTGGTGGGCGTGGCAGAGGAAGGATACTGCAAAATCCCCATTCCCTCCCCACCCCACTAACCTGCTTTCCTGCTCCGTTCTCCTGTGCAGGGCAACCAAAGGAGACCCAGCCGATCAGATGGGACTCAGGAGGCTACCGGTTCTCCAGAACTGGTCAGAACTGGCTGAATCCCACCTCTGATATCTAACACCTTTTTTTATCACCATTCCCTCGGAGGGTGTGCTGTCCAATTTCCAGTTTATGTATCTGATGGCATGGTTTTGAACGAAAGCCTTCCTGCCCCTGATATGATGCATGTGATTATTGTTGTTTAGATCACTCTGGCTAAGGATTCAACTTTGTCAAAATGGTTAGAATATAGTTTTTCCACAAATATGCATGAGGGAATGCAGTTGACGGAGAAGAAGAGTGAAGAATTTCATCTGACAGTGGTTGCCCACAATGAGGCGTGTGAAATTCCAACTGCAAATGTTACACTCCATGGTGAAGATCACATTTGCATCCATGCAAAGAACATGTAAGTTGCACTGACACATAGGGATGATAGGCTTTGATCATCTTGATATGGGTCTGTTTGCAAATACCTACAACACTGATTTAAAAAGTGCTTTTTCAAAAAGCGACTGGACTTCCTTGGTTTTTCTTTTGAAGACGTTTCGCTTATCATCCAAGAAGCTTCTTCAGCTCTGACTGGATGGTGGGGAATGGAAGAATTGATACTCCTTGTAGACAGCTGGTCATTTGCGTCCTTTTAGAGGGTTGTTGAGGCACTTGGAGGCTTACGTGTGTCCTCAGGGTCAGCTAAGTGGTGCTAATGGTTCATGTAGTCTGCCATTTTTTTCCTCTGGAAATCCATTCCTACTCCCACCCCATTCAAAGGGTGTTCATCTCAAATTTTCTAGTTAAAAGTCTGTAGAGGTTCTCAGTCATCCAGGTCATGGTTGCCCCAAAGGGGCTTATTCAAGACTTTCTTGTTTTTTTCTTTGAAGATGTTTTGCTTCTCATTCAAGAAGTTTCTTCAGCTCTTCTTCTTCTCAGAGCTGAAGAAGCTTCTTGGATGAGGAGCAAAACGTCTTCAGAGAAAAAACAAGAAAGTCCAGTTGCCTCCTGAAAAAGCACCTTGGGGACAACCATGACCTGGATGATCGATAATCTCTACAGACATTGACTTAAAACTGTAGAAGACAATCAGGGTTTGGTCCATCCATTTCAGTAGAGACCCACTGATAGAATTGAGTTGCGTTCAATCTCAAATGATCCTACTGATCACTGAAGTTTTTCACATGGCCACCTCGTTCTTTTCTCGATGAAGGACAGGGTGAAATAGAAATTAACAGAATTTTTCCTATTCTTTTGTTCACAGTGTCTTAAATAGATCCAAACACAATCCATTAATAGCATAAAAACTTTAATTGGATTACTTGCTGGATTTTAGCTTCTGAAAATATCTTCTCTTCATAGGAACTTTGAGAAGTTCTTGTGTATCTTTCTATGCTTTGTGGGGATTTTGTATCCTGCCACGAGTGTCCCATCAATTGTGTGCAAATCTATAAGATCTAGATTTCTTGGTGGACTAGAGCCAATATTTTTTTAAAAAAGCGGGCCAGTTAAATAAGCAGAAGCTAAAAATGGTGAAGAATAAATTATCAAATAAAAGGTACACACCCCACAATAGTTATGTGCTGTCCACTTTAAAAGAAATGTTTTCGTACAATTTTCAAGCAAGCCCAATAGTTCTTTTCTAACCTAACCTAAGAGCCATTTTTAAAACAATACCTTAGAAACTTTTTCATCGTTACGTTTGTGAGAAAAATATACTGACTTTATGATTACAATCATAAACATCAATACTTAGAGTCAATATATGTAATGTTGAGTAGCTCTGGAAAACGTTCAGTTATAATTCTATGTTTTAAAAGATGTCAGTCTTTTAACCATATTTGTTTTGGGGCTTTCAGCATTTGTTCCGGAGGTTGGCATGCCAAACACGTTTCCATCACTTTTGCTGAGATCGTACTTCGAAGGGAAGATACTCTGGAAATTAAAGAACAACTCAATCTGATTTGCACCATGGCAGAATATCTCCACTTGGATCCTTCCTCACTCACGCTTATTCCAGTCGAAGACTCCCTAAATAAATATTTCCAGAACCTAACCATATTGGCTGAAGATATCAGATACATCAACTCTACAAAAGGCCATCGTGTAGGACTCTGTTGGCCAGTTGGGTTTGGGGTGTTTGCTATGCTGCCTGACTTGATACGAGTCCTGAGCCACAACGTCGAGTCGGACAATCTCTCCCAGCTCCTAGGTTATGAAATTGTTGGCTGGCGAGTCCTTAAACAAGGATATGAAAAAAGAAATCCCAACAAGTGGCAGAAGAGGAAAATGGCCACCCCAAAGCCTACCTGGAGGCCAACCCAAACTCAGAACTTCACAGTTTTGGTAGCTGCTGTGCCAGAGACACATTCAGTTGTAAAGTCTGAAATGAGTTCATCGTATGTCAATAAAGGCACTTTCTCTCTTATCCATTCTTACGTGGACTTCAGTACACGACCTGGGATGATCCATATGGATTTGGAGATCTCCAAATCTACCATGTTTCATTACCTCTCTTCTGAACTTTCGCCTTCCCTGATGCTAAGCTCCACAGAATTTGAGGGGAAAGGGGCTTTTCAAACCCCACCAATATCGGAGCGCCTACTGTATGAAGCCTCGCTAGATACTTCAACACAAGAGGATTTCCCCGCAACTCAAAAATCTGAGCCAAGGGATAGTTCCACATTATATTATTTGAATTTGTTTATGCCTTTTACCAAAAATCATTTCTCAAACTCTGTTCACCACCCAAGGGACATTTTACCAGAAGAAATGTCTTCTACCTCATCATCATCTCCACGACTTTTCTCAGAATTAAGGAATCTAAATGACCATAGCCCGTTTGTGCATCGAACGGCGTCTGGGTTTAAATCCGGAGAGATCATTTCTATAATTGAACTTTCTCTGCCTTCCATGGTGACGTTAGCATATTTAAGGACATCATTATCATCTTCTGAACTGTCATTTTCTAGTGTTGCAATATCTCTGCTCTTCTTAAATGACAGCTATCAGAATCCAAAATTACTTAATGTCGACAGTTCTGCCTCAGATACTTTTATGACATTAGCATCAATGAAAGAGACAGACATTTCCAAATGGATCAAAAGCTCCATTTTGACCAAAATCCCGTCAATATTTGATGCTATCAGTACAAATGGTGATTTTGACCCCAAACCAGGTTCTTCATCCAATGCATGCTCACCAACTCAATTATATTACTGTAGTAATGGTCCAATTTTATCAAAACATTCCACGGATACATTAGATAATAGCACTTTGTTCTCCAGTATCTCTCTACTAACATTTAGCTTCCTGTCTAAAACCATTAGCAACCCTGTAATTTTTCCTTCTTTCTCATCAGTTCCAGTGGAATTGACATTTGAATCTAGTAATATATTCCCGATGGAAAAATTGCCCGACAGAAGACAGGTTAGCTCAGATGGAATGAATGCCTGTGAATCTTTTACAACTATTCCATTAACCTACAGATTTGTTACGACAGGAAGCAGTGTCTTAGTATTTATGAAAACTGAAATGGACACTTCCCTATGGATAAAAGGAACAACTCTGTTTTCTAGCACAACATCCAGTGCTGTTATCTTAAGCAGTGAATTCCTTAGTCAAGGAGAGAGGTCTCATAGAAAAACTCAGGCATTGGAGTTGCTTCTTTGTGGATCTTCATGGATTACTCCTCCTCTAGAACTTATTCACACCTCCAGTTTTCGTTTTTCTACATATCAGTTTGACTCTATCCACAATTTAGTTTGGACGCCCATGTTAAATCCCGATACTTTACAACTGGAAACAAATGGTTTAAGTTTGGAAAGCTCATTTGGAACGAAAACGAACATCCAGATTACAAGGGATATTGTAATATCAACATTGAAAGAACCGGCCATTGTTTTCAGCCGCAAAGGGATATCCATAGAGAATGGAGTTCATGCCACTACTACGTGCCAGAAGACACAAGGTAAGTCATGGTGTTAATTACTCCAGGTAGTCCTTGATTGAACACAATATTTATGTTGTTGAGCAAGGCATCCCACTTTACGATCTTGTTAAGTGAGCTGCTGCAGTTGTTGAATTGGTCACATGGCTAAGTGAATCTGGTTTTCCCATTTTGTTCATCAGGAAGTCATAAAAATGGGGAATTGCGTGACTCCAGGAGGCTGTGACCGTCATAAAAGTGAGTCCATTGTCCGAATGTAAATCAAGTGATCACAGGGATGTTACAACGGTCCCAAGTGTGAAAAATGGTCATAAGTACTGCTGTAACTTCAAACGCTCATTAAACAAACTGTTGTAAATCAAGGACTACCTGTATTCATTTTTAGTACACGTGGTGCCTCCAGGAACTAAGTAATGAGTACCGAGGTACCATTGCAATACAAAACTATTTAGAAAGCACGTTTGAACTCTTAAAGTCCAATCAATAGCTTGGAAATAAGGAGTTTGCCATGTCAAAACCGTGGTCCCTCTTTTTCTAGCCAAGTCAACTTGGGGCAAGTTGACACAAGGTGCCTTCTTCATCATTGGATAGGTTGCTTCTCCCAAAGGTGCTTTTTCAAGAGGCAACTGGACTTTCTGGTTTTCTGGACTCTTCAGCTTCCAGAGCTGAAGAAGCTTCTTGGATAAGAAGCGAAACATCTTCAAAGAAAAACTGGAAACCAGTTGCCTCTTGAAAAAAGCACCTTTGGGACAACCATGGCCTGGATGGCTGAGAATCTCGGTAGACTTGATTCTTTACATTTCTCTTCTATGATTTTATGCACCATAGAGAGTATCTTAACTTACTGCACCTCTGTATGGTTTGCCAATTGCACAGGGGCGGATAGGAAAGCACTCCAGAGGGTTAACGTCATTGCCCAGAGGATCATGGGTTGCCCTCTCCCCTCTTTGGAAGAGCTTTAGAGCTCCCGCTGCCTTAAGAAAGTTCAAAACATTCTCAAAGATCCATCTCATGCTGGGAACCCTTTTTTTGAACTATTACCATCTGGCAGACGGTATAGCATAATAAAAACAAGGACAAATAGGCTGAAAAACAGCTTCTATCCCAGGGCAGTAGCCATATTGAATTCTACTGTGTAGTGCAATATTAATGCAATATCAGGGGTTTTCAATTCAATTGCATAGAATGTGAAAGAGGTGTGTTTGTGTTTTATTTTTTAATGTATAATGTACACTGAAAACGGCATTTAATTTCATTGTGCGAGGTGCAATGACAATAAAGTAAACTAAACTAATTTTTGTTCAGGTCAGCCAAACACTCCTCCCAGGGTCATTCATGCCATTAAGTGGATCGCAGCAACAGTCGGACACGAGTTCTCATTTTCAATACCGCCAGAGACATTTCATGACCAAGAAGATGGGAATTCAACTCAACTGACCCTTGGAATGAACCCCATCGATGGCTCCCCGACAGATCTGGACAGCTGGTTACAATTTAATGCCAGGGATAAAAGGATGTATGGTTATCCGCTGGATGCCGATTTCCAGTATTCCCCACAGGAGTTTTTACTCTTTGCCATAGATTCAGGAGGACTAAAGACCGAAGATAAATTTGTCGTAGAAATATTCAAACCAACTATTATTCCATGCCACGTTTATACGGTAATCACAAAAGATAGCTACCACTCGTTCCTGAAAAACAGAAAGAGGATTTACTTATTTTTAAAGAAACTTTCCGATTATTTGTTGGTGGAGTCTCCTGGGCATGTGGTTCTGCTCCATCTCAAAACTGGCTCCGCCGTGTTCACATGGTACAACAAATCGTTTTGCCCAAAGGCTGAGAAATGTGCAAGAGATGACATCCAGGATGTTCTCACCAAACTAGGAAGACCCGAGGAAGACGTCCATCCAGATTTTGCGGAGGCCATGTTGCCAGAATTCAAAATTGAACAAATCGGAGAGGTGGGATACGGTGGGATGTGCTTATCCGCGACAAAGCCAACAAACGACTCTGTAGCGTTCAACAGGACTGTCACTGGATTTGACGGCGGCAACTGTTGGATAACAAATGTGCTCATGGCCTTGTTAGTTGCTGTATGTTGCACAATTCTAGCATTCCTGATCATTGTCTATCGTCAGAAGTATCTCAAGAAAACATTTCAACCAGAGTGTTCAACTTCCTGTGGCCACATCGACTTCAAGATGGGCACACTGACTTCTCGCAAATCTCCTCTACTGGAACAGGATGTTCTGCCATCAACTCGGTTACCGATACCCATGTCAATGGTTTGTCAACAGCGTTCCTTCAGACCGCATCGAGGTCTGGTTATCTCAAAGCTTCCATCTCCTCCGAAGTATAGACTTCCGCCATTGTATGAAAGGAGGGATCCTGGATGACCCTACTCGCTCGTTCCAATGCAAGTCTATTCTCATTTATTTATTAAATTTATATGCTGCTCTAATCTCGTGATCCAAAGAGAGTTTATGTAAAAATCTACCTGAAATCTGTAATTCATTTCTTCTTTTTGTATCTTCTAGCCCAGGGGTGTCAAACTTGATTTCATTGAGGGTCGTATTGGGGCTGTGATTGACCTCGGGGGGCTGTGGCTGACTGGGTGGGTGGATGTGGCCAACTGGGTGGAAATGGCCAGCTTGATGCCACTTACTGGGCATGGCCGACTGGGACAAAAGAAAACTTAAGTTGTACTTCTAAGAATAAGAGGCAGAGATAACCCTCTCCCCTTAGCCCCATCTTAAATGAGCAGGAAGATCTTGCTTCCCTCACTGCAACACAAGAACTAGCTAGTTCATCCAAAGTGTGTCTTTTTTAAAAGTGGTTTTCTATGGAATTACGGTCTAAAAGGAGCCTTTATCAATCTTAGCAATGTTACGAGGTGTGGACTTCAACTCCCAGAATTCACCAGCCAGCATGGATGCAGTTAACAGAATTTCACTTAAAAGTCTGGACTTTTTCAAGTATAGCGATATAATTTATAAAGCAAAACTCAAATAGTAGGCATTATGCTTTTTCTTTAAAAACAAAAAACAAAACAGAAATGTCATTTTTTTATGCAGTCATAAAGACCTAAATTGAAATTCTCCTTGCTCTTAAGAGTCCAATGGGATTTGGAACAAATAGTATATTTATTTTGCATTTTCATACAAAAGCGCTAAAATTATTACAAAAATGTAAAAAGCAATTAAAGTTAACAGAACTGTACAGTTTGATAGAGATATCAAATCAGGCATTAAAAGTTTACAGGTCGCGAACAAATAGGATTCTATATCCCAGAATTCACTGCCGGCTGGGTTTCCCATTTTCTGCAGTTTCCATTCTAAAACAAATCAAAATTATACGGTTAATGAGTATCTTTGTCTTTTATCTAAAAATCGGACAATGAGGCCGAGAGTCACATTGATAGTTTCGCTTTTAAACCTAAAAAGAGATACAATCTTAAAAATTACGTGTAGAGAGCAGGGTAGAAGAAAAACACAGCAAAGATTGTTGTTCCGTTTTAGCCGATTTGCAACAATTATTTAATTCAGTTTCCCTTGTATTTGCAACTCTTGCTGAAGATCAACTTATTTTACCATGCTTTAGAATCAACTGAATTTTGGGGGATGAAAGTTTATTTCATCGATCCACAGCACAGGATCAAAATAAGCGTTCAGTAAATACCCATCACAATTAACCTGTATGGGAAAAAAGGCTGACTGTTCTGTATTCTTCAAGGCCAGCCAGCTAATTATAAACTTCAGTTTAATATAAATCTCCAATTCTTCAACTTTAATTACCATTTAAGTTGAGGAATTCCGCTTGGGGCTTTCTGTTGAGTTTAGGAAATTAAGTATATTCTTAACATACTGCTTTTTATCAATCAACCAATGTCCATATAAACCTTTTCTTTGCAAGACAATATTTACAAGAATTAAATCTTTGAAGTTATATATATACACACACATACATACACACACACACACACACACACACACACACATGCATACATACATAAAATCCTCTTTTAATGATTCCATAATTCCTTGCAGGGTGGAGTCTGGGCAACTGAATGGAGATAGCAGAGTGTTTTAATGGCTGGATGCCCTTCCTGTCACCAATATGGAGTTTTTTTCTCAGTGTGCCCAGAGAGAAGAACATGTGCCCCGACCTAGAACTGAACTCACAGCCTCCTAATTGTGAGATGAGAGCTCCACCTCCAGGCCACTGCACTCCCCCCACCCACCCCCACACAGAGTATCACTAACAGAATGTTTTAATGCCATCATTTTGAACAAAGAGAAGGGCAGCTCAATTACCTTTTATATTACTTATTAACATTACACTTTAATGTATTGATGGGCAAAATGTTCAGGTATGTTATTAACCAGAAATAACCCCACACCCTGTAGCAACCTATGTAGAGATACAAACCCGTTCTCCTCTTTAAGATGTTGGTACAGTTCGGCTTTATTGTTGACAGAACCTAAGCGGCCAATAAATTCTTGATGTTTCCTAGAATTTGCAGCATTAATCCTGTTGCTCCAAAGAGACAGAAGGGATATTGGCCCTAAAAAGAAAAAAAATCTATGAAGAAAATCTAAGTGCCCTCATTAATTTGCATTCTTAAATCTTATTTTTTCTACTTGCACTCCAGAAGAACAATGCTCTTTCCTGTGTTCATATTATTGGCTTTCCTTTTTGCAGTAAAATCTACAATCGCACCTCCAATTTATTAAAAAAAACACCAATAGAATTCATGTTACTTGTGATTTTCACACCAAGGAAAATCCAAGGCAGAAGAACTATCTCCTAATTCTTTCTGGCATCATAAAAGAGACAAATCTAATGAGTCTACTTGCTTGCTGTGCAACAGTAATGATTCGCAAAAACATTTACCCAAGGTTCATGAGTTACTTCTTCGCAAGGCAACCTGTCACACAGGGATGGGCTTCAAATATTTAGCAAGGGGCTCTCTGCCCTAATGTCTGGCTGGGTGGGCATGGCTGGGTGGTCATGGCTATGAGGTCATGTGACTGGGTGGGTGTGGCCAACTTGACGTTGCTTCTTTGCCCTAATTACTTAAAAAAGGACATATACCCAAAAGTTGTTTATTATTTCGTGCATTTAATACTTAAATAAAAGCCTGGGTGAAACCAGGCTTACTCACAGTGACTGTGAGAGGGATCTTGGAGTCTTAATGGAGTTTCTGGTGAGTTAAGTGATTCTTATTATTTGGGAATTAATCTCCTTGGAGGCTAGTGGCTATGTTATCTGATGTACTTAATGGTTCTCCCTCCCAAACTCTGAATTGTTTATCTAGCTTGCAACAGTTTTACCAGGTGTGAAATGCTCTTGGCTGAATGCCCAGAAGTTCAATTAAGCCTATTAAGAGCTTTCCCTTGCTGCTTGTCTTTCTGAGGTTATTGGGAGCTCTCAAAGCCCTGCAGAGTCTTAGCGTGAGCCCCCAGAAGCCCACCCCTGCTGTCACATATTTTGCACTCTTGGCGCTCCAGGTGCAGAATTTTTATAATCTGTCCAATCTATGATGCAACCTTTGTGCTGGCTTATTCCTTGTTGAAATTAATGTGATTAATGCCCTGGGGTGATGAACTGACACTCAAGAAGCCTATCCTTCTGGTTTTAATTCTCCTTACTTTTGTGGAATAAGGCCACTCCATAAAGTCAGGCAGAATCTAAATAGGTAGGATGAATATGCACGTCAGCTTTGGAAGCCATTTTTTTTTTTTACTTGGAAGCTTTGAGGCTGCCACACTAAATGCCTGGGAATTTGGGAGGGGGGATTTCACAGTGGGTAGAATATTGGATACAACAACATCCTTTCTCAGAGTCCAGGACATGTTGCCCTGCACCTGGAGGGGAGTGACTGGGGGGAGATGTCTCCAGTTGGCTCGAGGATTTGATTGGGCCATGTGATGGACTGATGGGTGCGGGGGATGGCTCTTTCATTTCTCTTTTGGAATGGGAAAACTTGGAACTCTCAGATTCGGGTTTTCCCAGATGTGCCAATAGGACAACTCTAATAAAATGGAACTTTGAGGAATTGTTTGCCTCGGACTTTATTGGGTTGGCGTTGGTTAGTGGGAATGCTGACAATGAATCTCTTTTCTTCATAAAAGTTTAAGTGCACTCTGTACAATCATTCTGTTCCACCCAGGCAGCATTTCCCTTAAGCGCACGTTTTCGCTATATATAAAAATATGTCCTCCATCAGCCACCGGTTCACTTTTTTGGATAGCTTGAAATGATTCGGACTGTACCTTTATTTTTCTCCGGCCCTGGCAAATCGTCCATTGCAACAAGGGGCTTCTTGTTGGGGGGCTCCGGGGAATCGGGTGAATCTTTAATGACTTCTGCTTCTGCCAGTTCCTCTTTTTCACGATCTAATAAACCTTTTAACCTACAGAGACCAAGAGAAAATAAACTTGGTGACCTCAAGGATGCCCACTTGTCCTCTGTAATACACACTTCTTTAACCTTGTCCTTTCAATCCCAGGATGCCTATCTAAGCAGATAATCATGGAGCCTTTCCTTCAAGGCAGACAGGGAGGATGGATGGCCTGGATGGGTGCCTCTTGCAACTGTCTCCCAATGGGAAGGCAACTGTAGATATGCCAACATTCCTGACACTCAAAAGTTGTTCAAGGTAGCAGGTGCTAGGTACAAGAGGGAGCCAAAAACAGAAGTGACACCATGGATAAATTCCAGTAAGGAGCAAGGGTGGATATGCATCAAATAAATCCACAAAGCATTTCCCAACATTTGTTGCTAATGGAGGCAAAAATACTGCAGCCCCTTCAGAAACTCCACTAGTAGATCTTGAATGAAGATAAAGCTATTCCATTAGCCTTTAAAAGCTGTACAAAGTTGGCTTTTGTCATTTATACATTAAGCATTTAGGACTTTATATTCCTAAAAATATTCTAAATATATGGACATGTTACCATAGTTACATAAAAGCCCATCCAGGGTTCAATCCAAGCTTTGATTTTTAACCAGTTTAAAATACAACACCCTCAGATAGGATGACCTTAAAATTTTTCCTGTTTTAATTTTCATAATTGGCTTATCTGCAGGTCACCCAATTTTCATAAGATTAGCGGAACCCGATTTTTTTCTGGTGTATTTTAGCACCTAAAATTTTCTTCTTATCCTCAAGTATGTATGATAATATATTTAGAAAAACCCATTTTGGATATTAATTGAATATCCAAATTTTGGATATTAATTAAATGAAAACCCCACTAAGTTCATGGGATACCATGAATGCCATTAAAATGAATATTACTCCATGAATGATTGGTGTTTTAAGGGGTCTTCTGATTGAATCCAAAATAAATATTATCTTCAGATAAATTACCGATGCAACAAAACCAGCACTGAGAGAAGAGTGGACTGCCACAAATAGCAAGCTGTGTTGTGTT